CAGTCCCATCCCAAATTCTTATCCTGATTCCTTTCAATGCTATATTGTCTTAATTACTTGGCACTTTCTCCTGATGGTTCTCCATCCTAAGATCGTGGCTCAGAGGGTTGTTCCCAGGGTTGTGGCATCATGTCGTGGCTCAGCGGGTTGTTCCCAGGGTTGTGGCATTATGTCGTGGCTCAGAGGGTTGTTCCCAGGGTTGTGGCATCATGTCGTGGCTCAGAGGGTTGTTCCCAGGGTTGTGGCATCATGTCGTGGCTCAGAGGGTTGTTCCCAGGGTTGTGGCATCATGTCGTGGCTCAGAGGGTTGTGGGAGCGGTGAGAGACAATTTGTGCTGTACACCGATGCAGTCACGGTCCCGAGGACGGGCCACACGTCGCGGCCAGGCATTATTAAACAAAAATATTAAGATAGCCAAAGAAATTGGGAGAATTTCCCAACGACTCCAGATTGCAATAGGCTGCGCTGCAGGCACCTCTCCGACCTGCACCAGGAAGTCCTTCAGACCCCTCACCAGCCGGAGAGTCTGCTGGTGCCGCAGGAATGTGCCCACGAAGGGCACACTATCCCAGAAAGGCTCCAGCTCCACGTCACCGTCGAGCAGCGATTCATCACAGCCAATCCCAGGCGGGAGGAGGTGGAGGAAGACGGCCAGCTGCCTCAGCAGGTGAAGGATGCTATATTAGTTCTTGTGCCACTCAAGAACCTGTAGCCGAAGGAGATGTAGGTGGGTATGTCTCTCCGCTTCCTGGCTTGTCATCCACACTTGCACCATCCCTACCATCACCAACCCAGTCATCAACATCAATAAATTAATGAACTTATTCATTTTCTAATTCATTTTGAATCAGAAACTTTTGAATAAATAAATTAATACACCAAAATATAGAAACAATTATAAATACCGTGAAGGGTGAACAAATTAAAATAAAGTCAATATCACAGATGGATAAAATATAGCGAGGTTGGCAGTGTTTCATAGTTGGGTTGGACATGTTGATGCATGGCCCAAGTGCTTTGTGAAACTTGGACATGTTCACCACCTACAAAGTCAAGGAAGATTCCTATTACTGCAGAGTGAAATATCTTTATTCATAAGGATGTCTGTATCTCTTTATCTATTCACGGTTGAAGGGCAGTCGCCTGGGTCTGGGGAAAGAGACAGACATAGACTGGACGAAGTCGACCCAATTGGGCCTATGGTGAAGAGCAGGTGAAGAGCAGGGAAGGTGGTGAAGGGTTGATAAAAAAGTGATGGGTTGGAAAGGTGTTGAGGGGTAGAGAAGGTGGTGAAGTGTAGGGAAGGTGGCGAAGGGTGAGGAAGATGATTAAGGGTAGGTATTGTGAAGGGAATTATAGGTGGTGATTGGTGGGAAAGCATGTGAAGGGTAGGGAAGGTGGAGAATGGGAGGGAAAGTTTTGAAGGGCAGAGAAGAAAGGTCGTGTAGAGATGGGAAGGTTGTGAAGGTTAGGGTAGGTGGTCATGGGTTGGGAAGGTAGTGATGGGTAGGGAAGGTTCTGAAAGATAGGGAAAGTTGGGAAGGTGGTGGAGGGTAGGGATGGTTGCAAAGGGAAGAGATGGTAGTGACTGTAGGGAAAGTAGTAAGGGTAGGGAAGATGATAAAGGGTAGGGGGGGATGTGAATGGTAGGGAAGGTGTTGAAGGGGAGGGAAGGTAGTGAGGAGTAGGGAAGGTTGTGAAGGGTAGGGAAAGTTGTGAAGGTTAGGGAAGATGGTGAAGGGTAGGGAAGGTGTTGAATGGAAGGGAAGATAGTGAAGAGTAGGGAAGGTAAGGGTAAGGAGGTGGTGAAGGGTAGGGAAGATGGTGAAGAATAGGGAAGGTGGTGAAGGGTGAAGGGTGAAGGGTAGGGAAGGTAGTGAAGGATAGAGAAGGTGGTGAAGTGTAGGGCAGGTGGTGAAAGGTAGGAAAGGTATTGAAGGGTTGATTAGGTGGTGAATGGTACGTAAGGGTGAAGGGTAGGGATGGTGGTGAAGGGTAGGTAATATAATGAAGGTTAGGGAAGATGGTGAAGACTAGGGAAGGTGGTGAAGGGTAGGCAAGGTGGTGAAGATTAGGGAAGGTGGTGAAGATTAGGGAAGATAGTGAAGACTACAGAAGGTGGTGAAGGGAAGGTAAGATACTGAAGAGTAAGGAAGATGGTGAAGGGTTGATTAGGTGGTGAAGGGCTGATTAGGTGGTGAAGGGTTGATTAGGTGGTGAAGGTTGATGGTGGTGAAGGGTAGGGAGTGGTGAAGGGTGGAAGGTGAAGGGTGAGGTAGGTGGAGAAGGGTAGGGAAGAAGGTGGTGAAGGATTGATTAGGTGGTGAAAGGTAGGGAAGGTGGTGAAGGGTAGAGAAGGTGGTGAAGTGTGAGGTAGGTGGTGAAGGGTAGGGAAGATGGTGAAGGGTAGAGGTGGTACAGGGTAGGAAAAATGCTCAAGGGCTGATTAGGTGGTGAAGAGTAGGGAAGGTGGTAAAGGACAGAGAAGGTGATGACGGGTAGGGTGGTAATTGGTAGGGAAGATTTTGAAAGGTAGGGAAGTTAGTGAAGGGTAGGGAAAGTGGTGGAGGGTAGCGAAGATGGTGAAGGGTAGGGAAGTTGATGAAGGGAAGGGAAGGTGGTGAAGGGTAGGGAAGATGGTGAAGGGTAGGGAAGTTGGTGAAGGGTAGGGAAGTTGGTGAAGGGTAGGGAAGGTGGTGAAGGGAAAGGAAGGTGGTGAAGGGAAGGGAAGATGGGGAAGGGAAGATGGCGGGTAGGGAAGTTGGTGAAGGGTAGGGAAGGTGATGAAGGGTAGGGAAGGTTGTGATGGGTTGGGAAGGTGGTGAAGAGTAGGGAAGGTGGTGAAGGTTAAGGAAGATGGTGAACAGTCTACTGGCATAACAGGTATGCCTTTAACCCACTGCACCACAGCTCAGACCCTTAAGAGAGATGGTAATTTCGGAGTATTTATACACCCCAAAGATTACCACCTCCCAAGGGCAACTAGAGCAAGTGAGGGGTCACTTACGTTTAGACTTATGGGTGCTTGTTTAGACCTGTGGGTGCTTGTTTAGGCCTGTGGGTGCTTGTTCTGACCAGTGGGTGTTTGTTCAGACCAGTGGGTGCTTGTTCAGACCAGTGGGTGCTTGTTCAGACCAGTGGGTGCTTGTTTAGACCAGTGGGTGCTTGTTCAGACCTGTGGGTGCTTGTTTAGACCAGTGGGTGCTTGTTCAGACCAAAGCGTGCTTGTTCAGACCAGTGGGTGCTTGTGCAGATCTGTGGGTACTTGTTCAGACCAGTGGGTACTTGTTCAGACAAGTGGGTGCTTGTTCAGACCTGTCGGTGCTTGTTTAGACCAGTGGGTGCTTGTTTAGACCAGTGGGTGCTTGTTCAGACCAGTGGGTGCTTGTTCAGACCTGTGGGTGCTTGTTCAGGCCTGTGGGTGCTTGTTCAGACCTGTGGGTGCTTGTTCAGACCTGTGGGTGCTTGTTTATACCAGTGGGTGCCTGTGTAGACCAGTGGGTGTTTGTTTAGACCAGTGGGTGCTTGTTCAGACCAGTGGGTGCTTGTTCAGACCTGTGGGTGCTTGTTTCGACCAGTGGGTGCTTGTTCAGACCAGTCAGTGCTTGTTCAGACCAGTGGGTGCTTGTTCAGACCAGTCAGTGCTTGTTCAGACCAGTGGGTGCTTATTTAGACCTGTGGGTGCTTTTTTAGACCAGTGGGTGCTTGTTCAGACCAGTGGGTGCTAGTTCAGACCTGTGGGTGCTTGTTCAGACCTGTGGGTGCTTGTTCAGACCTGTGGGTGCTTGTGCAGACTTGTGGGTGCTTGTTCAGACCAGCGGGTGCTTGTTCAGACCAGTCAGTGCTTGTTCAGACCAGTGGGTGCTTGTTCAGACCTGTGGGTGCTTGTTCAGACCAGTGGGTGCTTGAGCAGACCTGTAGGTGTTTGTTTAGACCTGTGGGTGCTTTTTTAGACCAGTGGGTGCTTGTTCAGACCTGTGGGTGCTTGTTCAGACCTGTGGGTGCTTGTTCTGACCAGTGGGTGCTTGTTCAGACCAGTCAGTGCTTGTTCAGACCAGTGGGTGCTTGTTTAGACCAGTGGGTGCTTGTTTAGACCTGTGGGTGCTTGTTTAGACCAGTGGGTGCTTGTTCAGACCAAAGTGTGCTTGTTCAGACCAGTGGGTGCTTGTGCAGACCTGTGGGTGCTTGTTCAGACCAGTGGGTGCTTGTTCAGACCAGTGGGTGCTTATTCAGACCTGTCGGTGCTTGTTTAGACCTGTGGGTGCTTGTTTAGACCTGTGGGTGCTTGTTTAGACCAATGGGTGCTTGTTCAGATCTGTGGGTGCTTGTTCAGACCTGTGGGTGCTTGTTTAGACCAGTGGGTGCTTGTTCAGATCTGTGGGTGCTTGTTTAGACCTGTGGGTGCTTGTTTAGACGTGTGGGTGCTTATTTAGACCAGTGGGTCCTTGTTCAGACCTGTGGGTGCTTATTCAAACCTGTGGGTGCTTGTTTAGACCTGTGGGTACTTGTTTAGACATGTGGGTGCTTGTTTAGACCTGTTGGTGCTTGTTCAGACCTGTGGGTGCTTGTTCAGAACAGAGATTGCTTTTTCAGACCTATTGGTGCTTGCTCAGACCAGTGGGTGCTTGTTTAGACCTGTGGGTGCTTGTTCAGACCATTAGGTGCTTCTTTAGACCAGTGGTGCTTGTTTAGACCAGTGGTGCTTCTTTAGACCAGTGGTGCTTGTTTAGACCTGTGGGTGTTTGTTCAGACAAATGGGGCCTTGTTCAGACCTATGGGTGCTTATTCAGAACTGTGGGTGCTTCTTTAGACCTGTGGGTGCTTGTTCAGACCAGTAGGTGCTTGTTCAGACCAGTGGGTGCTTGTTCAGACCAGTGGGTGCTTGTTCAGACACGAATATATCGGAGCATATCAACAGTCTACACGTTCTGTGATATATATTGCATTATTGACAACCAGACAGACAATTGCACTGAAAAAAATTTAATAAAACATTTAAAATGATTAAAAAATATATATTAAATGTTCATAGCAACTTCCACCTCCAGGAGCAACCCGGCATGAATTTTGCTACATCAGCGATTAAGATTTGATGCCATTTTTGAGAATTCATCACTTTACTTCACCCAAAGTTGCTGATTTACAATTTTGTTGTTATTTTTCCAATGATCAAGGAAGATATTTTAACATAAGATTGCAAAATAATCTTTTAGTTTTTTTTCTTGTACACACAAGGAATGCCTTCTGAAATACTTGCGCAGTGCATGGGTTAATGATGAAATCTAGATTTCCAATTAATTTTGTACTGACCACATTCTGAAACTTCCACTTATGTACAGTAAACCAACCATAAAAATAAAAAACATATGTATTAATGCCAATTTATAACAATATTGTAATTAGAAAGCTGTATTATGTATTTTTTATTTGCTGTGGTCTATCAAGCCTCTTCCTGTTTCACTGAGAATCCAGGTCTACACTCAGCGTACTGGTCAGTGTAGAAGCTGCACAATTCTCCACGCTCAACCAACATGTCTACCTGGACCTGGATGGGGGAGAGAGAGAGGGAAGGGGAACCTGAATTATTAAATCTTTATAATTATGGTTTATATTATCCAGACATGCATACTTTCAGCTGAACATTTTTATTGTAGTAGTTATGACAATGGTTCAACAGTCCTCACATCATATTGGGAATTACAACATTAAAATTACACCACTGAAACTGAATGGCACTTACTGATAACGTTTTTAGCCCTTTGGCTGCGGAAAGCATCTGTGACTGCCTGGTTAGTTTGTGGCAGATTTTACAAAAAGTGACCTTAAGTCCACATGAAATACAGTACCTAGAAATTTTATTGCACTGAATGTAATTAAATACTCTTTTCTAGTGCGGCCCTCAGTAGCTTTCCGAGCTACTGGTCAAACCAAGTACAGTAAGTAATTATCAAAAGAAGGGGCTAAGCCAAGGGGAACTATGTACCACCATCAAATGTGCAGGATATTCAAAAGGTGTTAAATATTACTAAGAGTACCAATACTAGAACAAAAGTTTGTAAGGCAAACAATATCAAAGGTATCTGATTCACCAAGGATTCTATCAAGGGGACAAGTGACCGTGATGGAGAGTCGGGAAGCAAGACAACCGCACGTCCTGGAAGTGAGGACATTCAACAAGGATATGCACAACCGTATGAGGGACAATGCTGTTTAGATAATAAGGAGCAGAGTGCCACTCCATTAAGTGCCCACGAGTTAAACATGTATGGCCAATCCATAACTTCACTGGAGCCGTTTCACACCGTGTGTTACAGTGGTATGAGGAAGGCCATGGGGACATGTTATCCTTAAGAGCACGCAGTTTGTTACCAGTAACAGAAGACAAATGCCACAACAGGCAAGAATTGAGGAATGAATAACTGGGTAGAAGTCGGAATGAGGAACACCTTTAAGGGAGATGGGACAAGTGCAGATAGCCTCCTTAGGGCAGTGTCCACATGCTTATTTAAGGAACACTAATATGGTTGGGAACCCAGGAAAACTCCACAGTTTTAAACATGCTGGAGATAAGAAACAGCCAATGTTGAATTTCAACTACCACAGGATGGACTGGATTAAAGGACTCCAGAGCAATGAGGGCACTGCGAGAGTCAACTACTACAACAAAGGAAGATATTCAGAGAAAAAACAGTTGACAGAGCATACAAAATAGCATAAAGTTCTGTCAAGAAGATGATAGTCTCTGGAGGCAGGTGACACATATAGGTGTGGTCAGGAAAAAACAACAGCTGTTGGATGCGGCTGCTCGCAGCCTTACGTATGAATCACAGCCTGGTTGATCGGGTCTCCTTTGGAGGTGCTTATCAAGTTCTCTCTTGAACACTGTGAGGGGTCGGCCAGTTATGCCCCTTATGCGTAGTGGAAGCGTGTTGAACAGTCTCGGGCCTCTGATGTTGATAGAGTTCTCTCTCTCAGAGTACCTATTGCACCTATGCTCTTCAACGGGGGTATTCTGCACATTTTGCCATGCCTTCTGGTCTCATGTGGTGTTATTTCTGTGTGCAGGTTTGGGACCAGCCCCTCTACTATTTTCCATGCGTAAATTATTATTTATCTCTCCCGCCTGCACTCAAGAGAATATAGATTTAGGCTCTTTAGTTGGTCCTAATAGTTTAGATGTTTTACTGAGCGGATTCTAGCAGTAAAGGATCTCTGCATGCTCTCCAGGTCAGCAATTTCTCCAGCTTTGAAAGAGGCTGTAATGGTGCAGCAGTATTCCACTCTGGAGAGCATTAGGATCTTGAAAACTATCATCATAAGTATAGCATCTCTAGTGTGAAAGGTTCTTGTTATCTAACCTGTCATTTTTCTTGCAATTGTGATGGCTACTTTATTGTGTTCTTTAGAGGTAAGGTCTTCCTTTTACCTTTAAAGGTAAGGTCTTCCTTTACTACCTCAGTTCCATTTCACAAGCTGTCTCGTGCATCCCAGCCTGCTCCTGCATTGCCTGAGCCTGCTTGATACCTGCTTGATAGGGTTCTGGGAGTTCTTCTACTCCCCAAGCCCGGCCTGCAGGCAGGCTTGACTTGTGAACAGCCTATTTTGTATCTTGGCCATGTTTTTTTTCCTTCTTCTGTTCAGTTTCCAGTGTCCCCTTTGGTCCAGGTTTGTTTCTTTCTGGTCTTCTTTTATGGCCTCTCTTGCTTCCTGTTGTCAGATGGGTGCACCTTTGCTCTCCCCCAGCACCAGGGCTTTTGTTTGTTGCTGCCAGCTCCTATTCTGGCAAAGTCTGAGTCAGTTGGCTTCCATTGGGATGTCCCCTGGTCATTGTTGCTTGGTTGGATTGGCTGGGGGGGTGCATCTTGTGTTGTGTTTTGTGACTGCTTCCTTTGTGCCACTGGTTATACCTAGAGCATACCTGTTCCCGGGCCCCCTGTGCCCTTTTGTGGCTTTGGGGTCATGTGTCTCACAGGATCCAGAGTCATTTTGTCTGACCAGCCTGCAGTTTGTCCTAGCGTCTGTAATGATCGCAGTTGTGCTGCTCTTCCGGGTGTCCTGGTTTATCTGTCCTTGCCTGATTTTTGCCACAGTGGTTTTGGGGGGTCGACCTGTTTCTGATAACTCAGTGTCTGGTGTCTGTGCTCGGTCTCCGATGCCATTATGTGGTTCTGGGTTGTGTTTTTGTAGATGTGTCTTGTTTTTTGTCTTGATTCCTGTGGTGTTGCCTCCTCCCTGGTATGTGCCCGTTTGTCTCCATGGGTAGTTACCTTCAAGGGGCTTTCCCCAACAAATGCAGTGCTTAATGAAATGAAACTCCAATTTCTGGTTGAGCCCCAGTGGCTTCTTGACACTCTACCTTCCCCAGGGCATCAAGGGTGCTTCCATCATCTAGAACTGAGGGTGGAGAAGCCAGCTATCCCAGCCCATTCTCCTGTTTAGGTAGTACTTATAGTAATGATGAGGACCATCATAAATATATTGACATAAAAGACAATTAGAAAGAAGAAATTGAATTGAATTTGAAATAAAATTAAAGATTAGTAAGCAGAGCAAAATTTTATTGGTTTTCTTTAAAGCAAAATATCCAAATATCAGTAGACTGATACTGTGGTACCAATAAGTCACAGTCTAAGGGTTGAGGCCAACAAATAATAATGAACTAAGTTTAAAACTAATTAGCAAAATACTACAAGGAAAATATAATACTCGCACAAAGAAAGTACAATATAATAAAACTTAGGCTAGTAAATAAACAGTAAATCTTGATTACCTTTTCTCTATTACGATGTTTTGCAAATTTTTTCAGATAAATGTTATAGCTTGGCAACTTCTTATAAAATGGTGGGTGTTTCTTTCTCTGCAACTGCACTTTTCCATCCATTACGTACTGAAATCATATAATTAATAAACACAACCATGAAAAATAAATACCTCCCAGCCTACCTTACCTTGCGATGATTTCAGGGTTCAGCGTCCCCGTGGCCCGGTCCTTGACCAGGCCTTTTGATTGTTGGACTGGTCAACCAGGCTGTTGGACGCGGTTGCTCGCAGCCTGACGTATGAATCACAGCCTGGTTGATCAGGTATTAGCCCCTATTATCTAATCATAAATTCTTCTTACCATATACTTTCTTCTCATACAAGATTAGCACCATAAAGAACTGAGAGGCCTTAGCCATGCAGATGATTGAGAGAACTCATCATCACAACCTTAGAAAAGAGAAGAAACAGAAGGAATATGATAACTACATACAAGATCCTGAAGAGAATAAAGACAGTGGACAAAGGAAGCCTATTTAAATTTAAAAGAGGTATGACAAAGAGACATCAGTGGAAGCTGGACACGCAACCGAGTCAAAAAATATAAGTAAGTTCTCGTTCCTTATACTGGTGGTTGGCAATATGGAATGCATTGAAGGAAGAGGTAGTTGAAGCCAATTCCATGCACAACTTTTAGAAAACCAGCATTGAATGTAATGAAATGCCTCTTTCTGGGGAAGCCCAGGTGGCTTCCTAAAGCTACCTTGCTAAGATGGCTCTATGGGGTCACATCAGTCACTGAGGCTCTGTTTGGCCTACCGGGGACCAAAGCCATACCCTGGCCACCTCAGCCACTCCCTGCACCTCACAGAGGTGCAGGGAGTGGGTGACAATCCACCATCCTACCAGAAAAGCCTCCGGAAAGTCAACATAGCTTTATAAACACTTGGAAGGTTCACAGAAAATGAAGCCTCGAAGTTGCCAAACCACTCTAAATGATTCACACAGAACAAGGTATTCACTCAATCTAGCTTGAAACTAACTAGTACCAATTACCCTGACCAGGCAACCCAGCCCCCGCCAGCTCCACATATCAGTTCTGGAGCTGATGAACCCCATGACAAACCAATGAACCTGGGAGGGTGAGCCACGCCCACTTGGGAAGGAAGAGGAGGCACGAACTGAACCAAGGCTGAAGTATCCAACGCCCCCAAATTTGAGTCCCTAACACCCAAGAGGGGCAGCTCTGGGGCTTCCAAACAGGCAACAAACCTGGCCCATTACAAGAGAGAGAGAACCGTTCATGTAATGCGGCAGCTGCCTGATCCTGTTGATGATCAGATAAGGAATGAGTAAATTGGAGCACAAGCAGGGAGCAAGTCCCACAAGACTCCGGGTCTTGTGGGACTTGCTATGAAGAAGTATCCATAGTACGACAGAGCCCACAGGGGGTTTTCCAGGGCCAGTAGGGTGAATGAGCACCACAGGAAGCTCAGGCGCTAAGTCAGCTAAGCCGGTAAACCCTGTCAATGCAGGCACCCCGACCACAAGCAGCCACTGTAAAGCCTCGGGGGCAACAGACTTACGAGGCTCCAAAAATTCTGAAACCAGAGAAACTAGTACAGAGCCTGGAGTCAAATACTGCCAGTGGAGTAAATCTGGAAGACAAAGGTCAGGCTACCGCACAGCTGGTTAAGTATCTGAGGACCCAGGTGAGCATTGTCACCAGATGAAAATGCAAAGCCAAGCACAGCAACACTGCCTGTGGCAAAGACAGGAAGCTGACTGAGAGACCCCAGCAAGCTCTGAACCTGCGATGGACCCAACTGAGACTTCAGCCAGCCAACTAGGAACCTTAACCTGGCCAACTGGTAAAGACCCAGCACCCTAATCCACTCTACCCAACAAGTAGAGTGGTCGAGACAGAAAAGGTGATCAGCAACATGGACCAAAGCTATAAAATACTAGTACGCTGAAAAACCTCAAACAGTAGGTGCATAGCTGAGTGAGTGAGTGAGTGAGTGAGTGAGTGAGTACTCACCTATTTGTACTCACCTATTTGTGCTTGCAGGGGTTGAGCTTTGGCTCTTTGGTCCCGCCTCTCAACTGTCAATCAACTGGTGTACAGATTCCTGAGCCTACTGGGCTCTATCATATCTACATTTAAAACTGTGTATGGAGTCAGCCTCCACCACATCACTGCCTAATGCATTCCACCTGTTAACTACTCTGACACTGAAAAAGTTCCTTCTAACGTCTCTGTGGCTCATGTGAGTACTCAGTTTCCACCTGTGTCCCCTTGTTCGCGTCCCACCAGTGTTGAATAGTTTATCCTTGTTTACCCGGTCGATTCCTCTGAGGATTTTGTAGGTTGTGATCATGTCTCCCCTTACTCTTCTGTCTTCCAGTGTCGTAAGGTGCATTTCCTGCAGCCTTTCCTCGTAACTCATGCCTCTTAGTTCTGGGACTAGTCTTGTGGCATACCTTTGGACTTTTTCCAGCTTCGTCTTGTGCTTGACAAGGTACGGGCTCCATGCTGGGGCCGCATACTCTAGGATTGGTCTTACATATGTGGTGTACAAGATTCTGAATGATTCCTTACACAGGTTCCTGAACGCTGTTCTGATGTTAGCCAGCCTCGCATATGCCGCAGACGTTATTCTTTTTATGTGGGCTTCAGGAGACAGGTTTGGTGTGATATCAGCTCCTAGATCTTTCTCTCTGTTCGTTTCATTAAGTACTTCATCTCCTATTCTGTATCCTGTGTTTGGCCTCCTATTTCCACTGCCTAGTTTCATTACTTTGCATTTACTCGGGTTGAACTTCAACAGCCATTTGTTGGACCATTCACTCAGTCTGTCTAGGTCATCTTGTAGCCTCCTACTATCATCCTCAGTTTCAATCCTCCTCATAATTTTTGCATCATCGGCAAACATTGAGAGAAACGATTCTATACCCTCTGGAAGATCATTTACATATATCAGAAACAGTATAGGTCCAAGGACTGACCCCTGCGGTACTCCACTCGTAACGTCTCGCCAATCTGAGACCTCACCCTTCACACTGACTCGTTGTCTCTTGTTACTTGGGTACTCCTGTATCCAACGGAGTACCTTCCCTTTCACTCCAGCCTGCATCTCCAGTTTTTTCACTAGCCTCTTGTGTGGCACTGTATCAAAGGCTTTCTGACAATCCAAAAATATGCAGTCTGCCCACCCTTCTCTTTCTTGCCTTATTTTTGTTGCCTGGTCGTAGAATTCAAGTAACCCTGTGAGGCAGGACCTGCCATCCCTGAATCCATGTTGATGCTGTGTTACAAAGTTCTTTCGCTCCAGGTGCTCCACTAGCTTTCTTCGCACAATCTTCTCCATCATCTTGCATGGTATGCAGGTTAGGGACACTGGCCTGTAATTCAGTGCCCCCTGTCTATCCCCTTTCTTGTATATCGGGACTACGTTAGCTGCTTTCCAAATTTCTGGCAGTTCCCCTGTTGCCAGTGATTTGTTATACACCATGGAGAGCGGGAGGCACAGTTCTTCTGCTCCTTCCTTTAGTATCCAAGGGGAGATTCCATCTGGGCCTATAGCCTTTGTCACATCCAATTCTAGTAAACACTTCCTTACTTCCCCGCTGGTACTCTCAAACTCTTCCAGTGGTTCCTGGTTAGCTATTCCCTCTCTTATCTCTGGGATTTCTCCTTGCTCTAAGGTGAAGACCTCTTGGAATTTCTTATTCAGTTCCTCACACACTTCCTTGTCGTTTGTAGTGAATCCTTCTGCCCCTATCCTTAATTTCATAACCTGTTCCTTTACTGTTGTTTTTCTCCTGATGTGGCTATGCAGCAATTTAGGCTGAGTCTTTGCCTTGCTTGCGATGTCATTTTTGTATTGTCTTTCTGCCTCTCTTCTCATCCTGACATATTCATTCCTGGCATTCTGGTATCTTTCTCTGCTCTCCAGTGTCCTGTTTTTCCTATAGTTTCTCCATGCCCTTTTACTTTGCTGCTTAGCTAGCCTACATCTCTGATTAAACCATGGGTTTCTCATCTTCATTTCACTGTTTTCCTTTTGGACTGGGACAAACTTGTTTGCTGCATCCTTGCATTTTTGCGTGATGTATTCCATCATATCTTGGGCCGTCTTTTCCCTGAGCTCTGTTTCCCATGCTATATCTGTTAGGAATTTTCTTATCTCCTCATAGTTTCCCTTTCGGTATGCTAACCTTTTGGTTTCGGTATCCCTCCTCGAGTTCAATACCCTTCTTCAATCAGGTACTCAAACACCAATACACTGTGGTCGCTCATTCCTACTGGGGCCTCAAAACTGATTTCTCTTATGTCAGAGTTGTTCAGGGTGAAGACCAGGTCGAGTCTCGCTGGTTCGTCATTTCCTCTTATCCTTGTGGGTTCTCTGACATGCTGGGTTAAGAAGTTTCTATTCACCACCTCCAGTAGTTTGGCTCTCCATGTATCCTCGCCTCCATGCAGTTCCTTGTTCTCCCAATCAATCCTGCCGTGATTGAAGTCCCACCTGCCCCATGATGAGCAGGTGGGATCTATTTCTACAGGCAGAAGAGGCTGCCCTCTCAATTATAGTGTTAACTGCCATGTTGTTGCTCTCGTACTCTTGACTGGGTCTTCTGTCATTTGGTGGAGGATTATATATTACTGCCACTACTATCCTTGGTCCTCCCATTGTCATGGTGCCTGCTATGTAGTCTCTGAAACCCTCACAGCCCGGGATAGCCATCTCCTTAAAATTCCATTCCTTTCTCATGAGTAGGGCCACTCCGCCTCCTCCCCTACCTTCCCTCTCTTTCCTTATTATTGTGTACTCCTGGGGAAACACGGCATTCGTTATGATTCCAGATAGTTTTGTTTCAGTGAGTCCAATTACATCTGGGTTCACTTCTTGTGCTCTTTCCCTTAGTTCACTTGCCTTGCTTGTGATCCCATCTATGTTCGAGTACATTGCCCTGAAACTAACTCTCTTCTGCTTCTCCTCTGGGGGAAACCTGTGGGGTCTGGGGTGAGCGGGAGCTGGGAGGATCTGGTATGGGGAGACTGGTGGAGGAGGAAGGGCTTGGGGGGTAGGGGGGAGGGGGAGGGCAGGGGGAGTGGGTGAGGGGGGGAGGGGGGGAGGGGGAGTGAGTGAGGGGGGGAGGGGGAGTGAGTGAGGGGGGGAGGGTTGGGGGGGGTGAGAGGGGGAGGGTTGGGGGGGTGGGGGATGGGGGAGAAAGGGGGGTTTGGGGGGGGCAATAAAGTGGGGAGGGCTTGGGGGGCGTGGGGGGAAAGGGAAGGCTGAGGTGGTTGAGGAAGAGGGGAGGGTTTTGGGGGGTGGTGGAGAGGGGAGGGCTTAGGTGGGGTGGGGGAGAGTGGGGGGCTTAGGGGGGGGTGGGGGAGAATGGAGGGCTTGTGGGTGGGAGAGACGGAAGGGCATGTGGGAGAAGGGAGGGCTTGGGGGATGGGGGAGAAGGGAGGTCCTGGGGGGGAGGGGGGAGTGGGAGGAGGGGGGTGAGTGGGAGGAGAGGGGTGGGTGGGGGGAGGGTGCCTTAGGTGGGTACTTTGTGGGGGGCTGACAGGGGTTGGGGCAGGTAGGGTGTCTGTTGGGCAGAATGTGGGGGTGGTGCCGCACTCCCTGTGGCTAATGCACTGTTTGAGAAGGGTTCCCCATTCCCCTCTAGGATTGTAAGGATCGGGGGTGTGGCTCCCTGATTCCTTTCTCTCTCCCTGCGCTCCTTCCTCGCGTCTGCTGCCTGCATTCTCTCTTCCCTTGTCATATCCCTCTGCAAGAATATTCTTTTGAACTTCTCTACACCTGCTAGACAGCACTTCCTTTCTAACAGTTCCTCTTTCGCGATTTCGCTCATGAAAACCACCTTTATCATTCGGGTGAGTGAGTGAGTGAGTGAGTGAGTGAGTGAGTGAGTAAATACCCTTAGAATGAAAACTTTGGGGTATACAATGGCACAAACCCAGTGTAGGGAACAAAACATGAAATAAAGCCAATGGAATTGTGGTAAAATGTCATACATTCATAGCTCCTGTATTGGGGGCAGAGCTAATGTCACACCAGCTGGACGCTCGCTCGACCGTCAAATCAGACGTGTTCTGATCGTCAGGTCAGCCGAGTCGAGCTTGCGTTAAGGTTGGTAAAATGTAATTTCTACCCGAATCTCTGAGTCAGGAATTACTTTCTTTGTTTAATTTCATTGCTTATTGTTAATGACAATAATTGTTATTTTTGTTGTTAAACTACCTATTGTTAAACATATTGCTTAATGTTATAAGCAATACTAGCTTGTTGTTAAACTACTTATTATATACGGTGCTGAAACCGTATGGCTTGTAAACCATATGGCTTGTAAACCGTATGGCTTGTCTTATTGCAGGTTATTACACTGCAATTATATGATCAATAAAGCCTCAAGTTTGGTGATGCCTTTGTTTTACCACCGGAATCATGGAACATACGGTGAAAGGAGGATTAAACTGATAACAGGAGCCAAGAATAACAAATCCCCAGCACACCTTCAAAAGAGAAACACCATATCTTGATCATATTGTGATGCGGGTTCTGGGAGTGCTTTTACTCCTTAAGGCCAGAGCTAGGCGTGACATGTGAGATTAGCTGCGAGAGGCATGATCTTCCCACTCTAAATCCATGTTGGCCTGGGTTGTGGAGGTCATTGATCTCCATAAAACTGGAAATCTGACTCCTGATCACACTCTCAAAAACTTTTATTATATGGGACGTTAGTGCGACTGGTATGTAATTCTTAGACAATGCTTTGCTTCTTCCGTATATCTAAGGAGGCCTGGTCAACGACCGGGCCGTGAGGATGCTAAGCCCCGAAAACACCTCAAGGTAACCTTACCTTGCAAAGAGGAGCTTTATCTGCTGATTTAAATGCTTCTGGTATATCCTCTGTGTACAAGCTCTTCCTGCCCACTGAGTGCCTGTGCTACTAGCACCTTGCATTTCTTTATAAATATTGAATTTCATGAGTCTGGACCTTGGGCTGAGTGCATGGGCATGTTTTCAATTTCTTTTTCAAAATCTGCAGCGTTCATGTTGATATCGGTTACATTTTCAGGAGTTTGGATATCAAGCATAAAGAAGCTGTCCGGATCTTCCACTTTCATGCTGTATATTGGGGGTGCTAAACATGTCCTCATACTGCTTTTTTAGGACACTTCAGTCCATCTCAACCATCAAGCTCCAGAGGGGAACAGGCACCAGCATTACCCAGGGCAAGGAACCTTGAAAGAAGGAAACCCCATGTGACACACTCCCAACCCCACTTAGAGAACACCCTAACCATAGTCTGGGGTAATGCCAGTGACAACTAGAAAAGGTACCTCTAGTCATAAATGGCTAGAGATACCTTCTAGAGAAAGTAATGGAAGTAAATAGAGAACTGAGGATTATGCAATAGTGCAGCTGAAAAAACATGGACATGAAGATGAAAAATAACAATGACAAGTACACTTAGCGGAGCTCAGAAGGACAAAGAGCAGCAGGGACACCTGGGGTACGTATAACCAGGTGCATGACTGACTGAAGCAGTGAGCTGGGACCCCAAGTCACTGGTGCTGCCATCTGGTGGTGAGCAAGTGTTGCTAACAAGTAGTTGGTTCTGGAACACGAGTATACATATAATTTTGTATCAGGGTTTCCAATATTTTCCATACAGTTGCTTGTTTTGGGTACTATACATTTCTGGTGGGTTGTTTTCTGTGGTCTGGGTTGATCTATGTATTCCCAGACTCCCCTTGCCTCAAATGAGGAGTGCAGATTTTGGTACTGGTCTTCAGTAGGCACTTATGATTCAATAGATCCTGGTGGAGTACTTAAAAATTGGGGTACCCAGGTTTGGTACTTCAGGGAGTTATTGAATGAAGACATTCATTCATCCCAGACATACTCAGTGGCTCAAATTTCGAAGAGGTCGATCAGGTCGTTTACTTGGATAAATGTATTCTTCCAAAAGGAAAGTATAAAAATATGTAATTTCTATAATAAACTAATGCATACCTACTAGGAATCTCTAAAAATTCTAAAATTAGGACACAATCCAACATTATGAGGAAATTAAAAAGTTTTAAATATAATTCTTTAGAATTAATAACAAATGAACAAATATCTAAATCTGCAATTGGAGCAATGTTAACTTACACGTGTAAAATCAAGTTCTTCGCTGGTGGGTATTTCCTCTGGTAAGCGCACCTTGCTTGACTGAGGTGCTGCAACTACCCTGGGAAAATTCAGGTTCTCTTCACGAAACTCCACAAGGTTCAGCTGCTTTTCATCTGCTAGTTGTTGGTGTGTTTTCTGGAAATAGTAAATTTGAAATTGTTAAATCATTAGCATCATCATCATTATTTATCCGGTGTACCACTACTGTGAAATGTGAAAACACCAGTATGGAGATGATTGGAAATGTAATATGGGAAAATAAAATTAATGATATACAAAATGATACCCAGGCCTTTTTAATACTAGAATGAAAATGGGGTCAATTTAACTGCTAATTTAATCATAACTTTGAAATGTTGTATTTCCTTAATATTTTTTTAGCTATAGGTGCTGATGTAAGACATGTTTTAAGAACTCTTGTCAGTTATATTCTGTTCCAGATATAGTGTGTCTATTTGACAATCAAAAATCAAATATATGTTGTAACACAGCAATGTGTTTGCACACGCCGAGTTCTATCGCCAGTCACTCCTCAGTCTGGTACTAGTCTTCAAGCAGTGAAATATATAAAGCGACTACTCAAGTCTGAAGCTATTTGAAGTACAAATAATTTCATGTGTAGTGATTAATGAATATTTGCCAAATATTGCCTCTCAGCAGCACTGATAGTGAATATGGCCCTTCCCCCCCTGAGCCTAATGATTCACATGGAGTGACTACAAGTCAAATACAAGAGATTTCTTGTGGTGTTGTAGCGAACACCGTATAACCCGAAGAGGAAGCCGGAGATGCAGCATCCGACGCAAGGCACCCGGAGGACGAACCCAGGGATAGCAAGAGTGGCAGAAGGAACGGCCCCGAAGGAATCAGAACAGATGCCGAAGCCAAACCCGATCCAGAGGGTAAACTGGCACAACCAAGTTCAAACTCCCACACAGCTGCTCGAGCAACCGCCGAGTGACATGGGACACCCTCAGGAACAGCCGAATGCAGGACTGCAGCTGGAGCAATGCCGCAGGAGAAAGAGACACGGATGTCGTCTGAGAATCCCAAACAAGGTCCAGCCAAGTTCAAACCTGGGACAGAACCAAATGGTACTTCCTCCAGTTCACCAGGAACCTGAACCTAGCGAGCTGGGAAACCCTGGTGGGCAGACAAGCAAACTGACTGGGAGCCCACACCAACCAGTCGTCAAGGTAAACCAACACCCGAACACCTAGCAGATACAGAGGGGCCACCACGGCCCAGGTAAGATGCGTGAAAACACGAGGTGCCAGATTCAGCCTGAATGGAAGGTAACGAAAGCAGTAAGCCTGCCACCCCACCACAAAACCTAACCAGTCCCTGAACCCCAAATGAATAGAGATGTGCTAATACGCATCTCAGAGGTCCAGACATACCATCCAAGAACCCCGCTTCAAGAGCAGCCAGACCTGGGACAGAGTGGTCATCCAAAAGGAGGGCAAGGAATCCAGTGATTCAAACAGGACAAGTCCAGAATGAACCGAAGATTCATTCCTGTTGAACATTGAACAGTCCCGTTTCTGCAATGGAAACAAGGGAGAAACCCACTTAAGGGACAAAGTCATTTTGAATACGCCCAAGCGCACCCACTCTAAGATGACCTGATGGAGCGAAGGTGAAGAAGCCTGCTCTGCCAGCCCCGATCCTCTGAGAGGAGGAAGAGCCGCCCATCGCCATTACAGGCCGGAGGATATGACCCGAAACGCCCACAGATCAAGGGACCAAGTGTGGGCAAACAGAGCCAGGTTGCCCCCCCCCCCCATCGTCACGTCAATGGGGCGACCTGCAAAAGGGCCGGCGCCTCTTCCGAGAAGCCAACGTACGTGCAGAGCGACCACCACACCAACCAGATGAAGATGGCTCTGGAGGCGGCACCGGCACAGAAGCTGGCACTAAGAGCATACCTCGACCTGCAGAAGCCTGAGCCCTGGCTGACCATTCCGGGAAGCGTGAGAATGTCCACCCTGGATCACCAATAATTCAGAAAGAGGACAAAAAGAAAGACTAGCAGAAGTTGCCAGCAAAAACTGAGAAACAACCACGTTCAAGAACAACAATGAACAGAAAGGAGACGAAAATTTAAGAGCCAGGGCCCAAGCCAAATCAAAAGAGCACGAGGACAGCCTGCCGACATGCAAGTCAAGAGGCAAAAAAACAGAGACACCGCCTCCCGGAGTTGCGCATATAGTTTCAGCAATGCCGCCGATGCCCTAGCAACTGAGGCCACCCGGCACTCAATGCCTCCCCATCCTCCACAAGCCAGTCTGAGGACAGCTCGGGAAGGTAAAAGAAGCACAAGACCAAGGCCAGATGCCCTTGAGCGCGAAAATCCTCTGCAACCAAGGCAGCCAAAAGGGAAGGGACCTGAGCGTGCAACTGGAGCAAGTCAACCTCATGAGGAAGCACAGGGGTGTAAAGGCATGCATCCCGAACCTCCATAAGGGAAATCCGAGAGGTGGAAAACCTTTGGAAGAAGATCCTGTTTGTCACAGTTACTCAACCACTATGACAAAATCACAGAAGCCCTAGAAGAAAAGCAAAATGCAGATGTTGTATACACAGACTTTGCAAAGGCGTTCGACAAATGTGACCATGGGGAGATAGCTCACAAAATGAGGTCAATGGGAATAACTGGAAAAGTAGGACGCTGGATACTCAATTTCCTGTCGAACAGAACACAAAGAGTAACAGTCAATCAGATAAAATTGAGTCCAAGCGATGTTAAAAGCTCTGTATCTCAAGGTACAGTCCTTGCACCGCTACTGTTCCTTATTCTCATATCTGATATAGACAAAAATACACGTCACAGCTTCGTGTCGTCCTTCTGTCCGTGTCTTTGATGACACAAAAATCAGCATGAAAATTACCTCTGCTGAAGACATTGAAAAACTACAAGCAGATGTCAACAAAGTTTTCGATTGGGCAGCAAAAATAGCATGATGTTTAACAGTGATAAATTTCAGGTACTCAGGTACGGCAAAAATGAGGATCTGAAACATAATACAGGGTACAAAACACAATCGAATCTTCCCATAGTAAAAAAACAGCATGTAAAGGATTTGTGAATAATGATGTCCGACGATCTAACGTTTAGGAAGCATAACCAAGCAAATATTGCGTCAGCCAGAAAAATGATCGGATGTATTACGAGAACTTTCAAATCCAGGGATCCCATCACAATGGTTGTACTCTTCAAGTCACTTGTGTTGTCCCGTCTTGAGTACTGCCCAGTACTCACTTCCCCCTTCAGAGCAGGAGAGATTGCTGAAATAGAGGGAATACAGAGAACATATACAGCACACATAGACGAGATAAAAAACCTAAATCATTGGGATCGTCTCAAAGCTCTCCAAATGTACTCTCTAGAAAGGAGACGAGAGAGATACCAATTAATATACACATGGAAAATACTGGAGGGCCAGGTCCCAAATCTACACAGTAAAATAACAACGTACTGGAGTGAACAATATGGAAGAAAATGCAAGATTGAACCAGTGAAGAGCAGAGGTGCCATGGGCACAATCAGAGAGCACTGTATAAACATCAGAGGTCCGCGGTTGTTCAACGTCCTCCCAGCGACTATAAGAAATATTGCCGGAACAAACGTGGACATCTTCAAGAGAAAACTGGACTGTTTTCTAAGAGAAGTTCCGGATCAGCCGGGCTGTGGTGGGTATGTGGCCCTGCGGGCCGCTCCAAGCAATAGCCTGGTGGACCAAACTCTCACAAGTCGAGCCTGGCCTTGGGTCAGGCTTGGGGAGTAGAACTCCCAGAACCCCATCAAGCAGGTATCAAGCAGGTATACGAAAACCCCGAACCCTGCAACAGCAAACCCCCACCCCGAATGCAACAAGGCCCAGGCACGATCAAACGGGACCCAAGCGCTCCAAGCCAACTCCCTCCCCAGCCCCGGAAGCCTGAAAACCAGGCTCCGGGACAGAGCCATCTTCCACCCTTGAAGACAAAAGCAGAGTTCAAGGGAAACTCACAAAAGAAGGAGGTCTGCTGATAAGATCCAGAAGCCTCGGCGGAAGGATCAGGCTCAAGGGCCTCAGTCCCCCACAACGAATGGGGCAGCCCCCGGACCCACTCAAGTCTCATCTCCAACTAGGCCCTGCCTTGACTCTACAACCCTCATACGTTTGGGAGCCGGCAGCATAACATTGCAATAACAAATACCTACCATACCTACTTGACCCCTAAGAACTTCCGAAGAAGAATGAGTAAATTGGATAACGACCTGGAACAAGCCTCACACGACTCCGGATCGAAGGTGTCCCCAACCCAACAAGCAGCATGACGGAGGCAAAACAGATGATCGTCACTTTGAGACAAGGGCAACGAATTACCTTCAACCTCACGCAAAGTGAGAGGGGACTCAGAACCCCACTGACTCAGAAGACCCCAGTAAATATAGTAATTATAGTAAACCCAAGCCCCGACGGAGGTTTTCAGGGCCCGCAGGGTGGATGTATCCCTACGGGAAGCCCAGGCACTGGTGCTGCAAAGTCTGTTGAACCACGTCTATTTACCAGGCAAACTGACCCCTGTGAAGGGAGCAACCTCGGGGGCGGAGTGGAAAACTACCGAATGGAATTTAAGTGCACCTAATGGGAAGCCAGGCAGCCCTCCACCAGGCAGAAAATAACAGGGAAAAGAAATTAAAAGAAAACCCCCAAAAGTGCACCACAACAAAAGGCCAGAGAGAGACACGGCCACTGCCAGTATGCGAGCTATGCAGCACCGTGCGCCCCAACCCGTAACAAACACACCCTACCCAGGTCTAAACAAAAACACCAAGACCCCCTTCTCCTGCAGATCCCAAGGGCGAGTTCAATGACAAGTGACAGCAACCCCTATGGGAGTGAGAACCCGAAAGCCCCAGAGAATATAACCCTATAACCCTGAGACCTAAAGGAAGTACTTTCAGGGCACCTAGGGAAGAGAACCCTAAGCGTATGCAGCCTGAAGTACCGCTTACTCCTGGCCACCGCCCAACACAAAGCAGGTAACGCCGCAAAGGCAAAATCCTGACGGGAAATTGAGGCCGGAGGAGATATCAACCCCAGTTGGCTTCAGTCGACGAACTAGTGAGCAGGCAGCCAGCTCAGGTGGGCGCCCCCCCCCCCCCCTGGGGAAGGCAATCAACCAGGTAACAAGCAGCGCATCGGTTTCATGGCGATTTCCTTGTTGCCTTGTTTTTCTTGGGGGGAGTACTTAGGCTCTGTTCAGTCTTGGGTTGTAATTTTCTATCAGTTGGGGTCTGTTTTGGGGCACCTACCTTTCTGGGTGCCTAATGTCGGCCGATGGCAGACATGAATACACATTCAAAGAGTGGAGTTTTCATAGGTCATTACTCCCTGCGCCTCTCTGAGGGAGCCAGGTTCTGGCTCGTGGTTCCCAGTAGGCAGAACTCCATGTGACCGAAGCCCCAGACTAATATAACTAATATCAGTCTGACAGCTCCAGGGAGCCGACGGGGCTCCCCGCAGAAAACAACACTGAATGTAATGAAATGCCAACTTCTGGGTGAGCCCTAGTAGCACCCAGAATCTATCTCACTGAGATGGTTCCCAACTACTAGATTGCATCAGTCAAACCCACTTGATACCTGCTTGATGAGGTTCTGGAAGTTGTTCTACTCCATGGAGTTCAGTTCTGCCTACGAGGGACAGCAGCCAGAATCTGGCCCCCCTCACAAGAGGCACAAGGAGCAGATGACACTCTGCCACCTCACCAGGAGACACCCAAAAAGTCAATGAACCAACACAGACTGGATTCAAAAGAGACCAAAGCCTTGCAATCCACCGAATGAAATACCCCAACAATGTAAACAAACAATTGACTCTCAAAACAACCAAGAGCTCATTCTCCCCACCCCTCCCATTCATTTGGGGATGGAGGGAAGGATGGGCTCATGCTGTCCACTGGCTCGAGCGGTTAGTTCTGGAGCAAATGTATACACAAAACATTCCAAATTGACGACTTGGGAGGGGAAAATCATTGAGTCACTGGGGCTCACTCAGGAACACGGGTTTCATTATACAGTATTCAACACCAGTTTTTTGGAGAAGTCCCTTGTGGCTCCCTGAAGCTAACTATCCAGAGAAAATAAAACTGGTATATACTAGTGAGGAGGAACCTACAAAGCATTTACTGAGGTAGACACAGTGGCACAAAAGCAAAGGCAAATAGCCATCACCGGGCACACCACATGATGCCCTCCAGGCCTAACCAACCAAAGGACCCCTCCAGAAGTTGGCCAATTCATTCTCTGCCAGAAAAGGAGGAGCTGGCTGCAAACAAAATGCCTACCTGACGGAACAGCATTCTAGATCTTGTGTAACATCAAACGAGGGCTTCTGATGTTATGATGTATGGGCTTCTGATACTTCTGATTATGGGCTTCTGATGTAACATCAGATAATCGATCAAATACAGGAACAGGAGAAGCTTACGTTAGAGATAATTGTCCACATTTTATCAAATAAAATTTTTAACCTAAAATAACAAAATAAACTATGAGGATTCATCATCTGTTTAAATCTATAAGACTGTTGTAATTATTAAAGATTAATTAAACTGGTTTCACTGAGGACTTGCCCTATGTTATAATAATTTTTCCCATAAATAACATGGAAGGGCTGATGCAGTCCTAGTGATTATTTCTGTCACCTAGTCTTACCTCACAATGAGACAAACACGAGACTGGAATTCATTTCTGTCAAGTCTAGTACCTAAATAGGAGTTAAAAAAAACAGCATTGAATATAATGAAATGCCATTTACTGGGTGAGACCGGGAGGCTTCCCGGAGCTAATCTGGATGACATGAATGTATTAGACACTGGCATCAGTCAATGTGCATGCAGTTCTAGGCCGACCGGGGACCACAAGAGACATGACTCTCCCCCCTTAGAGAGGCATGAGGAGCAATGGCCTATAGAAACCCCATATGGTTATAAGCATTTCGCTCCATACGGGGGACTTCAACGCTCGACTTCACTCCTCAATGCGAAGTCAAGACAACTGGCTGCAACCGCAGACCCAATGTAACACAAGCCCGACTAGGCCCAGGAACATTGACAAGGTAGCAAGCGGCCAGGAGCCTGTTCAACCTCAAAAAAACCTGTGCCCGAATATCAGCCCAAGACATGTTACTAAAGACGGCAGCCAGTCTTCAAACTGACTGCCATCTAATTTATGAACAAACTTCCTAAGTTATATGGCAAACTTACGAACGTCGTGGGCACAAGGATAGACCGCGGGCTGGCTGGACCAAATAACCTTGCGGACGACCTGGTTGACCCAAACCCTGTAACAGGAAAGAAGGAAAACCGAGTCAACCCAAAGCGCATCCCCGGCCACCAAGGCCATGGCGTGCAGGTAACGGCGGAGAGCCTCAACCGGACAACACATGATGCACCTGCAACCTGACCAACCAAGAATCAACAACACAAGTACCCCTAAAGAAAGCAGCAGTCTCATTCTTCGTGAGAAAAGAAGGAGACGGTTGCAAACGAATAAACCTACCACCAGGACCAAAAGAGCAGAAACCCCTGTGCCGGAGGAGAGCATGAAGCTCCCCGACCCGACCCCCAGAGGCCAATGCCAACAGCAAAAAAAAGAGCCTTGGGAAAATATTCCTGAACCGAATAAGTCACCACAAACAGAGGAGAAGAGAGAAAGGAGAGCACCCAGTCCAACAACCAGGACAGTTCAGGCGGCGCATGAGCAGGATGGAGGTGAAACAACGCACAAGACAGCTTGCAGAACGGTGCAGAAATAGCATCAATGACGAACGCAAGCTGCAGCGGCTCCGCCAGTGCTGCACGATACGAGGCGCCAGTATTCTGCATAAGATAACAGTCCTGGAACAACCACGAAAGGAAGGCCAAGACAACATTATCAGAGACAGAAGTAAACCTACGAAGGGATAAGAAATAATGAAAGGACTGCCAAGAAACTTCATACTGCTGCCAAGATGAAGTACACAGGTGGACACAACAGGATATTTCATTCAAAATCACTGCAGAAAGGCAACTGGGTTTGTTCAAAACATGCAAAAAAATTCAAACCAATGTACATTACCTGATTAATAAGGCCTAAGAAAAAGGCCTTAGTGAGATTCTGCACATTGGTGGATCCTTCAACTTTAGCATGAATGTCCTTGATGCCGATGGTTTCACAGATTGAGCGAATGGCTCGGTGACACACCAAGCCATATCCCTTGGGCATTTTCTTGACAAACAATTTTGTATAACCATACTGGGTGAAGAAGTCGTGAAGCACTATGTAAACAGGACAAATGATATTAGCATTCTATAATAATATGAAATATTCAAAGGTATCAATAAATAGAAAGTATAAAACAAAAATCAAATGTTAAATATAATCAAACACACTTTGGTGATGGGGCCCTCGGGAGCCGGTCAGCCGAGCGGACAGCACGCTGGACTTGTGATCCTGTGGTCCCGGGTTCGATCCCAGGCGCCGGCGAGAAACAATGGGCAGAGTTTCTTTCACCTGTGCCCCTGTTACCTAGCAGTAAAATAGGTACCTGGGTGTTAGTCAGCTGTCATGGGCTGCTTCCTTGGGGTGGGGGCCTGGTCGAGGACCGGGCCGCAGGGACACTAAAGCCTTGAAATCATCTCAAGATAACCTCAAGATAACCTTCTAAACTAGAGTGCCAGCCCAGAGACCAGGCTGCAGGGATGTTGATCCTTGCAACCAATGCACTGTAAGAGCAACATAAGAAGACAAGACAAGCCCACCAAGCCGGAGAGAACGTTATGACCCAGTGTATTCACCTTATTATTAATATACACTGTCCTAACTTTATAAATAAATCCTATATTATTGTTGTTTAATAAATAAACTCATTAATTTTTAAGTTAAACTTATATTCTAGTAATAAGTGACAAAGTATTTTTTATGTCACTATAATATCAATGTATACCTGCTTGGTTGATACCTACTTGATGGGGTTCTGGCAGCTCTTCTACTCCCTAAGCCTGGACCGAGACAAGGCTTGACTTGTGAGAGCTTGGTTCAACAGGCTGTTACTTGGAGCAGCCCGCAGGCCCACATATCCACCACATGACAAAGAGTGCTGGGAAGACAGGACACCACAAGTGTAGCTCTCATCCTGTAACTACACTTAGGTAATTACAGCCCGGTTAGTCTGGCTCTTCTTAAAAAAAATTATTTAGTCTTCTCTTGAAGATGTCCATGGTTGTTCCGGCAATATTTCTTATACTCGCTGGGAGGATGCTGAACAACTGAGGACCTCTAATGTTTATACAGTGTTCTCTGATTGTGTTTATGGCACCCTTGCTCCTCACTGGTTCTATTCTATTTTATGACCTGGCCCCCCCAGTGTTTTCTATGTGTATATTATTTAATATCTCTCTCATTTCCTTTCTATTGAGTACATTTGGAGAGCTTTGAGACGATCCCAATAATTTAGATGCTTTATTGCGTATATGTATGCCGTTTATGTTCTCTGTATTCCCTGTATTTCTGCTGCCCAGTTGAAAACTTTATTAATAGATGCTTGTAGTTTTTCAGTGTCTTCAGCAGAGGTAATTGTCATGCTGATTTTTCTGTCATCTGCAAAGGATGATACAAAGCTGTGACTTGTATTTTGGTTCAATATCTGATATGAGAATAAGGAAAAGCAGTAGTGCAAGGGTTGTACCCTGAGGTACAAAGCTGTATATGGACTCGATTTTATTTGGTTGACTGTTACTCTCTTCTGCTTGACAGGAAATTGAGTATCCACCTCCCTACTTTACCTGTTATTTTGATTGACCTCATTTTGTATACTATCATTCCATGATCACATTTATCAAATGTCTTTGCGAAGTCCGTGTATACCACATCTGCATTCTGTTTTTCTACTAATGCCTCAGTGATTTTGTCGTAGTGGTCAAGTAGTTGTGAGAGGCATGACCTTCCAGTTCTAAATCCATGTTGGCCTAGGTTGTGGAGGTCATTAGTCTCTATGAAACTGGTGACCTGACACCTGATCACTCTCTCAAATACTTTTATTATTAATTCTTTATTATTAAACCGATAAGCAGTTCTAGTGGGTGTGGTAATGAAATCCAAGCACAGCATAGCACCACATGCTACCAACGGACACCACCACCTGATGCAGCAAAAGCCTTTAATATACTATACAGAATGCTAACTAACCACATCTGTGCCATTATCATCAAATTCCTGGTCACTAAATCATGAATATGAATAATTTTCCATAAGTTTATTTTTTAAAGAAACATGAGGTCCCATTGCATGATGCATAGAGGCATCAAACCAGCAGCTGTGGCTGTCTTCCTCCAGCTTGTTCTCGCGAGCCTTCCCAACAACAATAAGAAACTATCGTATTAAAATGCCTTATCCTAACAAACCACAGAACATCCCCCCCCCCACAGAAAATGGGACATTATGTCATTTCGTGCCCCGCTATTATTTTCTAGTATGACAGTTTTGACCTTACGTTAAGTACTATATACATCAAAATGTAATGTCCTATTAAGAGGACGAGTTGCTTCCTTACTTTGGGAACATCACTAGCATTGGGTTTACTGATATCTGAACCTTGAATATAATCTTTATCACAATCAGGGATCTTCTATGTCACTATCATCAATAAATAATTACAAATACTGTACTCATTTATTTCATCTTTAAATGATGGTGTAAGCATGGGCTGCATGGCAATGGTGTGAGCTGCTGCTGAATGTGCTGTGTTAGTATCCCGGCCCTTACACCCAGAAGGGGAGCCAATGATTTTTTCCTAGATGGTATCTGTTTACTGGAGACCTGAGGAAGTGGATGTAAGTCCAGTATACCCAAGGGAGTTTTAAATCTGCACTAGAACTAAAAGTGTCCCCTGGTTGCTGTGCACACCACCAATGCAGTGACCCTGTTGTTATGCACAGTTGAAGGGCTACACTTCAACTGTGTAGAGTTAATTGGTAAAAAATAACTAATTGATCAAAATATTTAGCTTGACTCACCTGTGTGCTCATTGTAACGTTCAATGTAAAGCAATCTTTGTCCTGCTACATTCTTCGCTTTTCTGATGACATCTGTCACAGTTGTCGCCTTGGCTAATGCAAAACCACCTAAACCATTACCATTTCCTGTTACAACAAACATGCTCATTCGTCGTTTCCTTCCAAAAACTGCAGTCATACATGTTACAACTTTCAGTTCCAGTACCTTTGTGTCAAATCCTTCAAAATTATCTGAAATATATAAAAAAACATTCAGTGCAAAAAACCAGCGTTGCATGTAATGAAACGCCATTTTCCTGGGCGAGACCCGGAAGCTTCCCGGAGCTATCCAGACTGATAAGGATATATTAGACTTTGACTACCCAAACACGACCCGGCGGGTAGACCAACACAGCAAAGTTCAGGCTCCCAAACAAACCCTCAAGCATCTGCCGGGTGACCCGGGAGCCCCCAAAAATAAGCGAAGGTGGGACTGCAGCTGAAGCAGAGAAACCGGAGGGAGAGGCAAGGAAGCGGACCGAGAGGCCTACACAAGACCCAACCAAGACCAAACCCGAGAGGGAACCAGATGGAACTTCCGCCAGGTCATCAGGAATTCGAACCCGGCGAGCTAGGAAAGACCCAAACCCCTGGCGAGCAGACATGCATACTGACTGGGAGCCCACATCAACCAGTCGTCGAGGGAGGCCAGAACCTGAACCCCTAAACGACGCAGACAGGCCACCACGACCCGGGTAAGGCATGTAAACACGCAAGGAGCCAGGTTCAAGCCGAATGGAAGGCAACAAAAGCAGTAAGCCTGACGCCCCACAACAAAACTGAGCCAGTCCCAGAACCCCGGATGAATCGGGGTGTGCCAATAAGCGTCCCAGAGGTCCAGGGACACCATCCAAGCGCCTCACTCCAAAAGAAGCTGGACCTGGGACAGACTAGTCATCCAAAAGGAGGGGCAATAGACCCCGGGGTTCAGACGAGACAAATCCAGAATGAACCTCAGCAATGCATCCGGGACACCGCATAGTCCCGTTTCAAGAGTGGGAACAGACGGGAAACCCACCTGAGGGATTTCGTTATTTTGACCACACCAAAGTGCACCCACTCCAGAGGTGGGTGCGCTTTGACAGACTTCCAGACTTGACACAGTGCAGGAGAAGAGGCAGGCCCCAAACCCACCGAAGGGGAAGGGGCCACCCAACGCCTCCACAAGCCGTCAGAAACAACCTGAAAAGCCCACAAATCATGAGACCAGGCGTGAGCAAACAGCACGAGCCTCCCCCACCCATCAATGGGGGGAGGCTCTCTTCCCCCCATTCAATGGGACGAATCGCTAAAGGGCTGATGCTTCTGTCGAGAACCCAACTGACGAGCAGAGCGAACACTGTGCTGACCAGACGAAGGCGGGTCTGAAAGCAGTGCCGGCTCTAAAGATGGCACCACCTGCCTACCACGGCCAAGGAACTCGGAGCCCTGGCATGACCTCTCCGGGAGGAACAACCAAAAGCGGTCGTCGACCAGGCCTCCTATTTGCTTGGACTGGTCAACCAGGCTGTTGGACGCAGCTGCTCGCAGACTGACATATGAATTACAGCCTGGTTGATCAGGTATCCTTTGGAGGTGCTTATTTAGTTCTCTCTTGAACACTGTGAGGGGTCGGCCCTTTATGCCCCTTATGTGTAGTGGAACCGTGTTGAACAGTTTTGGGCCTCTGATGTTGATAGAGTTCTATCTCAGAGTACCTGTTGCACCTCTGCTTTTCAACGGGGGTATTCTGCACATCCTGCCATGCCTTCTGGTCTCATGTGATGTTATTTGTGTGTGCAGGTTTGGGACCAGTCCCTCTAATATTTTCCACGTGTAAATTATTATGTATCTCTCCCGCCTGCGCTCAAGGGAATACAGATTTAGGCTCTTTAGTCGGTCCCAGTAGTTTAGATGTTTTACCGAATGGATTCTAGCAGAAAAAGATCTCTGCACGCTCTCCAGGTCAGCAATTTCTCCAGCTTTGAAAGGGGCTATCATTGTGCAGTAGTACTCCACTCTCGAGAGCACTAGCGTTTTGAAAAGTATCATCATCGGTATAGCATCTCTAGTGTGAAAAGTTCTTGTTATCCAACCTGTCCTTTTTCTTGCAGTTGTGACGGCTACTTTATTGTGTTCTTTAAAGGTAAGGTCTTCCGACATGAATACACCCAGATCCTTTACATTGCCTTTTCGTTCTATGTTATGATTTGCCTGAGTTTTGTACATGGTTTCCGTTTTTATATTTTCATTTTTTCCGTAGCGCACGAGCTGGAACTTATCTTCGTTAAACACCATATTATTTTCTGTAGCCCATAGAAAGACCTGATCTACATCTGATTGGAGGTTTGCTGAGTCCTCTATGTTGCCTACCATCATGAAAATCCTAGTGTCATCTGCAAAGGATGATACAGTGCTATAGACTGTGTTCTTGTCTATGTCCGATATGAGGATGAGAAAAAGTACTGGAACAAGCACAGTACCCTGGGAGACTGAGCTCTTCATGGTTGATGGGTTTATTTTGTTGACTATTACACATTGGGTTCTGTTAGTCAGGAAATTGTAGATCCATCTGCTTATTTTTCCGGTAATTCCTTTTGAACGCATTTTATGTGCAATAACACCATGATCACATTCGTCAAAGGCTTTTGCGAAATCTGTGTAAATTACATCAGTGTTTTGTTTGTCTTCCACAGCATCTAATGCCATGTCATAATGGTCCAACAACTGTGATACGAAAGGGCGCCCTGTTCTGAAACCATGTTGTCCGGGGTTATGCAGATGCTGTGATTCCATGTACATATTTTGTGATCTTACTTCTTAGCACTCTCAAAGATTTTTATGATGTGTGATGTTAGTGCTATCGGTCTGTAATTTTTTGCCTCTGCTTTATTTCCTCCTTTATGAAGTGGTGCTATCTCTGCTGTTTTTAGTATGTCAGGGATAACACCAGTATCTAGGCTTTGTCTCCAAAGAATGTGAAGAGCCTGCGATAGTGGTTTTTTACAGTTCTTGATGAATATGGAGTTCCAAGAATCAGGGCCTGGTGCAGAGTGCAAAGGCATACTGTTTATGGCTTCTTCAAAATCTTGAAATAGGGTACGATGCTCAAGTTGTTCCGCGATTCTTTTCTTCGCCTATAGAGGGAACGACGTTCCCATTCCAATCTGCATCTCTCTTTTTTTCTTAGGGGTATGCGGTTTGAGCATGTTTCTAGTGCTACTGAGCTTATTTTTTTCAGGCATTGGTTCAGGTTTAAATTTTCTAGCTGCTCTTCCCAGTTTATTTCTGTGAAGTCCTGGTTTATTTGCTCCCAGTTTACCTGTTTATTATTGAAGTTGAATTTCCTGAAGTCTCCTCCACCGAGAATCGGGACTGATTTTGAAGATCTATTCCCCATGCTTGTCAGAACTTCAATTAAGTTGTGATCTGAGTAACAGGTATTTGTAATTATTATGTTCCTGATCAATTCATCATTATTGGTGAAAATGAGGTCCAGCATGTTCTCCTTCCTAGTCGGTTCTACTATTTGCTGGTTTAAGGCAAACCTGTCGCACATCCGTAGCAGGTCATTTGCATGTGCCTGTTTATTTAGGCTACTTCCTGGTATTCTTTCTGATATTACTGTATTAGCCAGGTGCTTCCATTTCAGGTGCCGTAGGTTGAAGTCCCCAAGCAGGATGATGTTTGGGGCTGGATTTGTAAGGTTTTCCAAGCAGTGTTCTATTTTCATTAGTTGGTCTTTAAACTGCTGAGGGTTTGCCCCCGATGACTTGTATACAAGGACAATAACTACATTTAGGATCTCTATTTTGATTATCAGCACTTCCACCATATTATTTGTGGTGTTTAGCAGCTCAGTATAGATGAGTGTGTCTTTGATGTAGATGCTGACCCCACCCTGTAGCTGGTGTTTCCTGTCACATCTGAAAAGATTGTACTCTGCGATCCATATTTCACCATCATGGTAGTCCTTTGTGTGAGTTTCCATTAGGGCTGCAAACACTTCATTTGCCTCATGAAGGAGACCATCTATAAAATGAACTTTGTTGGATATGCGTGTTTTAATATCCTGGATGTTGGCAAATATAAATGATGTTATCGTGTTTGTGGAAGTTCTAAATGCTTTACTTGGTGTTAATATCTGAGGCTCTGGTAGGAAGGCCAGTGTGTTTGCACCCTCTCTAGCATTTAACCAAGATAGTGGTAGAGTCTGGACATTTTTAGCCATTCTTTTCCTCTCTCTCTCACTAAAAAATCATCCTGGTCGATGGAGTTGTGGCTGTTTTCATAGTGGCGGTCTGTTGGTTATATTCGCCTGGTAGCCCTTATATGAAAAGCTGGACATTCCAAATTGAAGCTTTCTTTCCTGGCTAAAGAGTTCTTGCAAATTTCTGGGTGAAAGAATTCACAGGTTTTGGTACATTTACCCGTACTGAGGAAGTTTCTGCACTTTCAAGGGTGATCGTATTTACATGTTCCATTTGTTCTTCCCAATCTTCCATGCTTACAGGTACCCCATTTGTAATACCGACAGATTTTGGGTCCTTGTTGTTTGTTTCCCATTGCCAGGGACCGCGCTCTGCTGCAGCACCCCCGACACTCTGCTCTGTTCCGGTGCCCGTGACACCCCGCACTGCTCCGGCGCCATCAACACGGCGCTCTGTTCCGGCGTCCCTGACTCCGCGCTCTGCTCCAGCACCTGCGACACCGCGCTCTGCTCCGGCGCCCTCGACTCTGCGCTCTTCTCCAGCGTCCCCAACTCCGTGCTCTACTTAGGCGCCGCTGACACTGAGCTCTACACCACGTCTGTTTGTACCTGGGTTTCATGGACAGTTTGTTTGAAGACATTAGAAATTGCTATGCAGGCATTTATTAGTGATTCTCTGTTTTCAGCAGGAGTTTTATCCAGGATTTCAATCACCTTCAAGAAAGTTACATCATCATTTTTGCACAGCCAGTACACAGAGTGGTCTCCGAGACCATTTTTCCTTGGATTAGGGGACGCATCCCTTGGATCCAAGTGCCCCAGTGAGGTTTCCCAAGGCCCTTAGACAGGAACACACTTAGGGAAGCCCAGGCAGGAGTACTGCTAACTGGTGCCCAAGTCTACCCAGAAAACTGCTAAAAGCCGAACCCCCTGGGACGTGTCCACTCATGGGGGCCTAGCAGGGGACCACCAAGAACACTAGGGGGAAACCAAAACCAAGGCCAGAAACCCCCACCAGGGAGGAAAACAAAAACAAAAGAAAAAACTCGCAAGAGGACAACGTACCCAGGCGGAACAGAGCTGGCCACTATGAGAGGTGAAAACTAGCTGTGCAGTACCCTGCGCCCCTATCAGTGCTACCCCTACCCAAAGGCAAACAAGGTTGCATGAAACACCCCAGCACACTAAGGGTGGTGGTCAATCACCAAGCAGCAAAAGACCTAGCAGAGGTAGATCCCAAGGTGACTTGTGGAAGGTGGCCCCAAGCTCAAAGGGCAGCACTTACAGGGCACCTAGGGAAGGTGACCCTAGGCACATGCAGCCCGAGTACATGTGAAATTACTCCTGGCTCACACCCTCACCAGAGAAACAGCACCACACCACAAGGCACAAAGCTGGAGGACAGGAAAACAGAAGCAGAGTCACATGGCCGTTTCCAATCTCATCAGCCAAAGAATTGAGGTGTGGATAGCCAATGTGAGGCTCTGGGGTTCCACCTTCCCCCTCCCAGGGAAGGGGGGAGCTGCGCAGACAGCAGTGCAGTGACGTAGTGACGTCAGGCTTGTTGGCTCATTTCCATTTGGGGAGTTCTGTACACTATTTCGGCTTTCGGTAGCAATTTCTTAACCAGAATAGGGGTTTGTTTTGGGGCGCTTACCTTTCTGGGTACCTAACCCAGTTGATGGTAGACATAGAATGCTTTCAACCACATGGGGGTTTGTATAGGCCATTGCTCCTCTTGCCTCTTCTAAGGGGACCAGGTTCTGGCTCATGGTCCCCGGTAGGCCTAGAACTCCATTCACATTGACTGATGCCAAAGTCTAATATCTTATCAGCCTTGATACCTTCGAGGAGCCGAAGGGGATCCCCCCCCAGAAAACAAGCTTCGACTGTAATGAAAGCCAATTACTGGATGAGACCCCAGAGGCTCCTTGCAGCTATCACGCTGATACAGTGCCAGACAAAACAATGGTTGTTTGTTTTCATAGTTGGTGAAGTTCTTTTGGCAGTTTTTGAGGCTGTGATCTCAGGTTTAACCATGCAGTAGTCTGTGTTGTTTCACTGACTTTCTGAGTGCCTTCCCTGGTGGTGGTAGACACGATTAACTTTAAATGTAAAGTGTTCATAGGCCAATAAGAACTCTATGACTGATGGCATCTAGTAGTATGGCACTGTATCAGTGTGAGAGCTTTACGAAGCCTCAAGGGGCTCCCCACAGGAAATATATATTCTGCTAAAGTAATTTATAATTTGGCAAATAAAACAAACAGAACAGTTATGCGAAACATCTGCTTATGAACAGGTTTGAAGAAAATGCTACGAGCTGAGAGTAGAAGAGGGGAAATTAAAGAACTATTGAATAAGTTACATAAATATGCTTCTAAGATCTGAGATTATGTTGGTGAATTATGCCACAGGCATTGCCATGGCTAGAATCAATGGAAACAAATTATACATAAAGGAGAAAGAGTAAATGAGGACCAAAGCTGCAATGAATACAACTACAGTACAAGTGATTCAATCATACGGGGTCAGTTGAGGACAATATCCATAGTCTCATAGATTATGAAATGCAAAGACTAGTGCAACATATTCCCATTTAATATGAATGGTAATCTTTAGTTTTGTTTTGTTTTTTTACACAGGTGGGTACAGGAACAGATGACTTGCAACGTATACGAGTTTAGGTGACAAGCCTCAAAGAGTTTAGTGATTTTTATATTTATTTAATATGGTGTTATAGTGACTCCTGTTAGCAGGCTTAGAGCTTTCCCTTCCCATAGCACATGGCAAGCCTTACCCACTAGTTTTTCCTGGAATATGACCTGTGAATCGTTTAACAAGGTACCCAATAGCCAAAAGAACGAAAAACCCTGCTTATGGAGGAAAGCATGACACTCCTGACCCTACAACCAACAAAGTGAGAAGTGATGTAAGGTGAGTGTGTGCATTAAGTGCAAGGTATTGCTAAAAGTTAAGACTAATGGCATGGCCAAAAATACAAAAAAAATACTGTACTAGGTCGCCCATTATCCTTCCACACGCTCATGTATGTCTGAAAGTGAACTGACTGGTACATGTCCCCTTTCAGGAATGCGCAAACTATAGCTTGCATATCGGGGTACGTGGGTACAACATCTACAAACATGGTGTCCCTCTTTGTATCTAAATATTCACACTCAATAAGAAATTAATCTAATAGATCTAACACTATTTTCCATTGCAATTTTATGGATCAGGAATACAGTACTGAGTTTTCACAAATTTTCAAAGGAATCAAAATTACCTTCTCCAATGGGATCTGGTGGACCTATGCTCCTTCCAGGCATCTTAGTGCCTGACCAACCTCTTTCAAGAGGACTGATTCGGAGAGCACGAAATGACCCCATAGAATTCCTCATTTTGATGAGCTTTGCTTCCCTTTCCTCATCTTTTGGAAGCTTTTGCTGCTGAACAAGTTCTCTGCCACGTATAACAGGTGCATTCAGGCCTGGCCACACCATGTTTTCCGAACCTAAAAAGACAAAAATTAGCAATGCATAAAATATCAATTATTTAAATACAGACAGCCATGTGCTTTATGAACGCCATGTATCCAAAAATGCCAGTTTCCTAATTTGGGTTGATTCGGATACTCGAAGTTCGGATAGTGCAAGGTTCATATATAATAGTTCAGGCAGCTCATCAGGCAAGCGTCCACTAGGCCTCATTGCCCAGGGTGGTGGGGGGTGGGGGTGTTTGGGTGAATGAGCCTAGTTTGCCCACTGACCGTGTCGGGCACCACTCTAGTGCCTTCTACCGTGAGGCCCCAGATTCATGGCCAATTGTTTTGATTTGTAATGAGACTGGAGTGTTCATTCTATGTGTTGGATATATCACCACAATCTAGGAACATCCATGCACGATGTCAACTCCAAATGCACCCACTGTGTCAGTGAAAGCTTCAACAAGCAGGATACGTAAAAGATAGAGGTCAGTGATGACATTTGATAAAGTTGAAATAATTAATTTAAGAAGGTCACGAGTGAAGTCCCAAAAAGTGTTGCGAGCGCTGAATGTGGCATTAGCAAGAGCACAGTTTTTATCTTAAGGCTAAACCTATAATTTTGTACTATTTCTCTAGAAGTGGAAGTGATATTGCAATATGAAATAGGAAGGTAGTAAGTAAAGCAAAAGTGGTGTGTGTTGATAATGCAGTGTAACAGTGGTACAAACAGAAGCGTAAGGAGACGAAGAAGCCAGTGGCAGGCAGGGTGCTCATGGAAAAAGCACGCGAGTTTCACCAATCAATGAAAATTCCTGAGAAGTGTGTATACAGTGATGGATGGCTCCGAAGCTTTAAAATCCGCCATGGCATTAGGTTCATTAGCATACATCGTGAAAGGCAGTCTGCTAACACTACTGGTGCTGGCGAGTATTTAAGTACTGTACTTGTGATTGGGATTAGCAAAAACCCCCAGGGTTTTAAAGTCAGCTAGATGTCTTCCTATGATTTATAAGGACCAGTCAAGTGAGTGGATGTCTTGAGTAGTATCTGTAGAGTGGTTTAATAAGAACTTTGTCCCCGAGGGTGAAGGAGCACCTGAAAAGTGTTGGCCTCCCACAGAACAGCAAAGTTGTGCTGCTGCTAGATAATAGTGTAACACATCCACTAAGTGATGAGCCAGTAAATGGCACATTTACTAGCCATTTACTAGCTACTGGTAATTTTCTTGTACATTCTTACCAGCCAATTCAACTTCACTGATCCAACCCATGGATCAAGGAATAATTAAGAACCTTAACCCCTCAACTGCGCCAGCCAACAAATGTCATTTTGAGAGCTGTCTATTTTTTTTTAATTAGGCTATATTTTAATGTTTTTAAATGTTTTCATCACTCTTTGTGTTTTGAAATGAAATTAGTTTAGTTTGGAAACATTTTGACATTAACACTACCTGAACATTTATAAAAACAACAAAAATATGTCCTTAACAACTGCACCATGAAATTTTTGCCAAAAACAGGTGTGCAATGCATGGGTTAAGCATCACTACAAGAGGTTTGCCAAATGTCATCATAATTAGCCAGGAACAATTAAGGACTTTTTTCAAGTCTACATGATACCACATAATAAAATCAACTATCTGGACTATTCCTAATGCATGGGACAAGTAAAGTTACACTAAGAAATGGTTGGACAAAATTTTGCTGTCATCAGGTCTCTATCCTGAGGAAGATGACGGGGCAGATTTTGTAGGATTTGTGGCCAAGAAAATTAGCAAAAAGAAAAAACTAAGAGAGGAACTCCTAGTTTACATCCACCACATCACCTCTTCCATGTAATAACAATGCTCCATCATCAACGATAATCAAGTTAGCAAGTGGATCAGGACTTCTCGTATTGGTGAGTACAAACAGAATACTGTTGAACTTATGCCATGAATTTGTCGATTTTTTCCCCCAGATTTTCAGAATGACAGACCACATATACAAACACAAGTTATCTGATGAGTTACAGCCCCGAGGGGTTCATGAAGCACCTGGCCGTTTGTATTTACAAAACTATTTTATAAAAGTTTATTAAAACTTAAGACCAAATGTTTAACATAGCAATGCAAAATATCAAACATATACTGAATAGCACCTTGGTTCTCTGACATATATTCATTAAAGTAATAAATATCCATTTCAAAATCAGTCTAGTGTTAATTGTAGTATTACTCACCTATGCCAATTATCTGTCCTCTGTTGAGATTTTTGGCAATCTTCCTGCCGACACCCTTCCCACGTCCTTGTTTCCTCCCAGCATTGCTTACGCTTGTCACACCTTTCCATAACTGATCAGCCGTTACTGCAAAAACAAATATAAAGTGAGATAATCCGACTGAGTATACCGAGTATAAAAATAACCTTTTAGAGCAGAATCATTTGGTTGGCCACTAATATAAGATCTGCTGTGGCTAAAGACAAGATAGTGAACAGACCAGCGGGAAAATATTCTACCAAGAGTACCAACATAAATTTTTCAAACACCTCTTGCAGTAATATAAGGTACTAGGGATACTCAATCCAGCCCAGAATGACAACAGAATGTGCATTTATGAAAACTCTCAATCCCTTCTCTGGCATTTATGATGACTTAAAGAAAACTCTCATATATAGCTCAACAGTCAAGAGTTCCAAGATCTAAGAACTATCCATATAATCCCTTACCCAAAAATAAAGCAATGAATGTAATGAAATGCTCCCATCTGATGGGTCACTCAGTAGCTTCTCAAAACTACAACATGGAGAAATTAAGTCTTAGGATACATACCAGGCCTCTGAGACCTACCGAGAACCAGGACCAGACTCTGACTACCTATACAAGATAAGTCATAGAACAACCCAAAATCGAGAACATCCCACCAGAAATCAAAATCCCTACAAAACAATCAATTGCTTAATGAAATTTGAACCTCATTTATGAGCCACCCCAAAGAGAAAACCCTCAATTCCCATGGAATTGAGGATTCTCTAATTCAAGAACAGTGAAGGAACAAAATTACAGAGTGGCTCACCAGAAGATGCAATTCTTTATATGCACTGCTTTATTTCTGAGAGGACTTGTTAAAAAAAACCAGCATTGAATATAATGAAACGCCATTTTCTGGGTGAGTCCCGGAGGCTTCCCGGAGCTATCCATGGCTGATATGGATACCCTAACTATTTTGCATCAGTTGATGTGGGTGGAGTTCTAGGCCAACCGGGGACCACGAGCCAGAACCTGGCCCCCTCAGAGAGGCACGGGGAGCAATGGCCCATAGAATTGCACATGTGATTTGGAGCATTCTATATCTGCCATCGACCGGGACAGGCACCCAGAAAGGTAAGCACCACAAAACAAACCTCTATTCTGGTTAACAACAAAAATCGACAAACGAGTGGACAGAACTCCCCCAGGAAAACGAACTAACAAGCATGACGTCACACGAGCCGCGCCGCATTGTCTGCGCAGCTCCCCCCTCCCCGGGAGGGGGAAGGGGGAGCCCCAGACCCCCGCGCCGGCAATCCCCGCCCCAGTTCTGAGGCTTGATATCAAAACCGCAAAAAAACGCCGACCGGAGGGCGGAAGGGAGCCGGGGAGCCTCCAGGACTCGCCCAGAAAATGGCGTTTCATTACATTCAACGCTGGTTTTCTAGGGGGAGCCCCTACGGCTCCCTGGAGCTACTTCACCAAAGACTACCTAAGAAAACAAGGGGACATACCCGGGAGGTGGTTGGTGAACCACTCCTCAAAACAAAGTCGAGACAACAACCCAAGGACCCCTCTGGAAAGCAGCAGGCACATCATTCGCCAGAAATAAGGAGAACGGCTGCAGACGAAGAAACCTATGACCACGACCATAGGAGCCAAAAACCACTGCGCCTGAGAAGAGCATGAAGCTCTGCCACACGACCCCCAGAGGCCAATGCCAACATAAAAAGAGAGCCGAAGCAAAGCAAACCTGAACCGAAGGAGCCACAACAACCAAGGAGAAGAAAAACAGGAGAGCACCCTGTCCAAAGACCAGAACGGCACAGGCAGTGCATGAGCAGGCCGGAGGTGAAACAATGCATGAGACAGCCTGCAAAATGGCGCAGAAGGAACATCGATACCGAAAGCTAGCAGCAGAAACCAAGGTGCCAGACCCAGGAACGGCCCCAAGCGCCTCTACATCCTCCGCAAGCCAATCCTATGACAGCCCCAGGAGGGAAAAGAAAATGCAGGACCAAAACCAAAATGCCACAAGCGTGCAAGTCCACCGCCACAAGTGCAGCCGACAGGGAAGGAACCCGCATAAGGAGCCGCCCCGCACCAACATCCCGCAGAAGGGCAGGAGTGAAAAGACTCAATAAGAGGAGCAAAATCGCCCCCAGGAAAACTAGTAGCGCCGAGACAGCGCTAAGAGAAGAGATATGAACAAAGGAACAAGAAGGCCAAACACCTAGAAGCTGCCTGGAATAGGACCCAATAGCCCTAGAAAGGACCAGAGGGAAGCTCAACCGAACGATGACAGACGTACCAGAAAACGGGAAGGAGCAAAACCGTCCCGAACCTTCGAGAACAAAAAGAAGCAAACACAAAGAACTAAGGCACAAAAACCCCGTCGCACCAGAGACCAAAAGTCATGCAGAAACCCCAAGAAGAGGGGGACATGACGGAGAAGGCCCGTCCCGGAAAAAAGGGGCGAAGACCGTAGAAAAGCACCCACCGACAGGATGGAAGCAACGGGCACAATAGACAAGGAAACCAAGCAAAGGGAGGGGCCGACGCCCACAAAGCACGTGTGGAGAGGGGGAACAGAAAAACCCCACACCACAAAACCGCAAGCTAGGGGCCTCAGGGCCTGAGGCCCCTCACGTTAGCCCCACCCCGCCCCGGGAACCCACCCTACAGGCCCCCAAGGCCGAGCTGTCCCCCCAAAGCCCCAGCGTCAAGAAAAACCCTGGGGCAGCCGTGAAAAACACTAAGGAAGGGAGCCCACTAGGCTCTGGAAATTGAACCGAAACCAGAGGATAGGCGAGGGGCGAGACGAAGACCCCAAGCTCATCCCCAGCCAGCACAACGAGGCGAGGACAGGACAGAGAATCCAAGGAACATGGAAAAACCAGGCCCGGCACAGCAAGACTAGCAAGGAAGGAGACAAGGGCAAGGACAAGTGCTCCAGAGGGAGCACGGAAGGGCTGAACAAAATGCCACAACCAACCCCTACACGCAGCCGCAATACCAAAACCGCAGCAAAACGTCACCACACTCCCCGAGGAAGCGACAGAAGATAAAGATAAATCGTAACACGAGTGGCACACAAGGGAACACAGGCGGAAACCAAGCACCCAACTGAGCCACAGGGACGGTAGAAGAAACGTGTGCAGTGTAACAGGCAATCGAAGGAACACATTAGGCAGCCCAACTTGGGCTGACCCCATACACAGCCCCAAGAGCAGAGACGAGAGCGCCCATGAAGCACAGAATCCGCTCCTCAGGCGAACGACAAGGAAGAGGCGGAACCAAAGAGCCAGAACCCAATCCTGCAAGCACAAGGAGGCGAGCACAAAACACCCTCGACACAGGAAAACGTACCACCGAACAGGCACCCCCACCGTTGCACCGTGGAACAAGGTGGAGGCGGGGCCCCGAACTCAAGCAAGGTTAGACAAGCATAGGAAAGGGGCAGAAGGAGTACAGGCAGGAGCCGCCTCGGAAGGGCCAAGAGGCCACCCGCAGACACCCGTGAACCGTGGAAGGAATCAGGTGGAGAGAACAAGAGCTGCCCTGTATGGGCTAATAGCCCTGCAGTAGGCACCTCGGATGGTACGGTCCACGTTCTCAAGTACGTATGTACACCCATTCCTACTTCCAAAAACAAAAACAGCGTCAAGACGAAGGAGACGCTAAACCACACCAACTCACCTGCAGAACCTAGGCCCTGAAGGGCCCTGACGCAAGCCTATGAGTACGTAGCTGCCAGAGGCGGCCAAGGCACCCATGCTGGAGAGGAGGAGGGGAGCAGCGAAGGAAGCTCCCACCCTAGAATGCGGGGAAAAACCTCATGACTTCCCCACAGCGGCACTCCAGAACACCCCCAAAGCAACGGGGCACGGTTTGGATTAAGGAAAGAGCGAGAGGCGAAGACCCCTGAAACTGCCCAAGTCTCAGAACCTCTAGTCCTGCCCCGACCCCGAAGCCTGCAGATGCGTAGGGGCAGGAAGCAGGAGGGGGAAAAACAAGGGAGGCGTGGAAGGAACCAAGGCCGAAGCGACCAAAACCCCCAAGTCTGGGTCCCTACACAAAGCGGGGCAGCATCGGGGCGTCCGGGGAAGCGACAAACCCAAGCGTGTTGCAACATCCTACCCTGCAACGGGCGAGCTGCCTGCACCCACGGGAATTCATCAGCAGACTGGGTGAATGGAGTCACGAACAAGCAACAAAGCTCGCAGGACTCAGGGTAGAATGTGTCACCGACCCAACAGTCAGCATGACAGAGGCAAAAACAAGGAGAGTCACCCTGAGACAAGGGGACAGAGCAACCCTCAACTCGCACAAAGCGAGAAGGGACGCAAGGGTCACCACTATCGGACCCGAGAGCCGCCGGAGGGTTTCCCAGGGCCCCTAGACTGGGTCTGCTAAGGGTTATCCCAGGCAGGGCACTGCTAACCGGCGCCCCAAACTACCAAGCAAACTGCTAAAGCTGAATCCACGGGACGTGTCCACCCGCGAGGGCGAGGCAGGGGGTGCCACCACACAAATGAACCTAATATAAGGGGGGGGGGGAACAGAAGGCAGACCCCCCTACCAGGCAAAAACAAATATAAAAGAAAAACCACACAAGTGGACAACGTACCCAGAGGGAACAGAGCCGGCCGCTGTCATAGGTGAAAACTAGCTACGCAGTACCCTGCGCCCCACCAGTGCTATAACTACCACTTACCCCAAGGCACACAAGGGAGGAAAACCCCCAGACACTCGGGGCGGTCAAATGCCAAGCAGCGAAAAGCCAACAGAGGTAGACCCAAGGTGACTTGTGGAAGGCAACCCCAAACCCCAAGGGCAGTACTTACAGGGAACTCAGGAAAGGTGACCCTAAGCACATGCAGCCCGAGTACCTGAGAATACTACTCCCAGCTCACACGACCACCGTAAGAGCAGCACTGCAAACAAGTCACAGCACTGAGACAAGACTGGAGCTGGAGCCACACGACCGTGCATTATCCCATCAGCCGAGGAACTGGGGCGGGGATCGCCGGCGCGGGAGTCTGGGGCTCCCCCTTCCCCCTCCCGGGGAGGGAGGAGCTGCGCAGACATGTGGCGCGGCTCGTGTGACGTCATGC